GTCGGTTGCATGTCTTTGGCTTGCCCTATTTGTGTACGAACGTTTTCTGACTGCTGCCTATTCTTTTGCCTTTAGGATTTATTTGCAAATCGGCGAAGTTGTCGAGAAGCTGATTCAACACGTCGCGATTCCGGACTCTTAAACTATTACAACCGTACCAGCACCGCTGCTACTACAACTACCACTCCCACTACTTCTACTACTTTTACTACTACTACTAATACTACGACTAACAGCACCCCCGCGTTTCCCATCATCGTCATTTGTGCTGTCGATGCTTCGGGTTACGTTCAAAATTGTATTGATACACTTCTTCCACACAATCCAACTCGTTTTTACTTTTTCTTGTTGGCGCGCTTGGATTGACCTGTTGGAGTGACGGACATGACACAACGATGTGAGTGCATCATGGTATCGCCCAATGCAAAATGGCTGCCAATGCAAAATGGCTGGGACGTGCATTAAGCGCCAAACTTACCCTTCTTGGGGGCGCCCTTGCCGCGTTTCCGCAAGCGATCCAGGTTGAACAGGCGATCTGACTCCTCCTCGTTCGCCAGCTGGCCGACCGCGTGGAGATGCTTCAGGACAGAGTTGATCGCGAGGTAAGGCGGGTAGCGTGAAGCCACGCGCTCGCCGATCAGCGGTCGCCGCAGGAAGCTCGTCGCTGTGCGGAAGGTCTTCTGATTGACAAGCGGGGCGCTGGGAGCGGAGGAGGGGCGGGGGAAATGGTTGGCGGTGTGGAGTGGAGATGGGCGAGGAAGATAGGGCGACACGGGTTGGTAAGCAATCACAACGTAAACAACCGATCGAGATACCACCCTCGCTAACTAAAAGATCGACAAAGTCAAGGAAAGACTCGGTGGTTTTTTTTTTTTCTTGGTTTGGCTTACAGTTTGAGATTGTCGGTCGGGTTTTCGAGCAGCGCCGTCTCGCGCACAATTCGAGGTGTCTTGACATGTCCGAATGTGTCTGCAGCTGTCTTGGCGATCGTGTCGCGCAATGCGTTCGACAGGCGCAATGCAGAGCCCAATGGTCGGAAGGCCATGTTTATGACAAAAAAGACTGAGCAGCAAGCGATGATGATGACTGGATAATTATAATACTATGTTAGTGTGCTAGTACGTGATGATCATGTCTACCGTTTTACTATGTGGGCGAGAGAGACAGCTCAAGGTCGAAGCTCAAGCGGTCGCTTTGCAACGATTTTGTGCGAAAACGGTCTGCCCCACTGTACAAACCAAGTACAGTGTATTGCGTCGACATTCAATGCAAACAACAATACTGTCACACTTGCAAAACCGGTGCTCACGCTGCAATGGTCACATGCACATCGGCTGCCTCGGATTCCTCGGGCAACGTTGCTAACGATGGCGCGTCGCCATGCGTAAACTCCATGCTCCCTGTCAGCATTTGGGAAGGACTGCGATAGACCATTTCGGCGGCGTGATCGCTCTCTTCCACACGCGAAATAAAGCTCGTGGCCCAGTCTTGGTGATGGTGGTCGGTGCTGGTGGCGTGGGCAGACTCGTCGGATTCGCTCGTGGCCGACTGGACTTGGCCCCTCGATCGCGAGACACGATAATACCAGAGGAAGAACACGGCCGCCATAAAGTGGACGAGGTCGAAAATGTGGGCAACGATCAGATCGCCCACCTTTGGCACTGGCTGCACATGCGGCGGGTCCAGGTTGTACTGACTCGTGGACCATTTGATAATGTTGTAAAAGAGCGCAAGGAGCCCGATAACCTGAATGACCATGGCCCACATTGTCATCCTGTAGATGCGTTGAATGGCTAGCCTTCGTCTCTTGCTCGCAAGACCTTCGGCAGCCTTCGCCTTGGCAGAACTAGCGGCTCCGTCAATCTTGGATCCGTCCACCGAAATGGCGAATGAGGTGTCGCCCTTGCTTGAGGACGGATTGTCCTTCCGGTGGCTCGACGCACTGCTGTCGCCATAGCGTGCCTGGGCTTGCGCAAGGAGCTTTCGAATGCGGTAGGCAAAGACAAAGCTGCAACAAAAGAAGGCGGCAATAACACCGCACAGCAGGGCGTACATGGCAACCTTTCCTGCCCAGTAGGGTCCAGTGGTAAACATGAACAAGGTCGATATTAGCTGAGTAAACCACGCGTAGGCAACAGCCGCGTAGTAGCCCCATTGGAAGAGACGGGAGCGGAAACTTGCCGCCACCGAGCGAGACACGAACGTTGCCCAGGACAGGACGACGCGCATCCACACAGTCAGGATGAAGCAAGTGCTGACATCGTACAGAACTGAGGTCACCCAAATGGGATAGACGCCGCGCCATCCGCTCGAGTCTACTTGTCGAATTGCCGCCGAAATAGCGGTCAGTGTGGACAGGTAAATCACAGTGTTGTCGAGCTTGGTGCACCATCCATTTTTGCATGTGATGCGATAGCTTTGTACCAAACCAAACAGGCTCGCTCCAATGAGCAACGTGCAGAGCAGTCCTTGGACAACTTGGTAGCTCGCGCCGAGATTTTCCGCAAAGGTAACATCGCAGTTGGGCCCCAGGTATGGCGTTGAGCAATTTGCATTCGCCTGCATTCTGAGTCTGGAGTAAAAAAAAGCCTCAGCTTGGAGTCAGGTTCACGAGTGAGGTCGATTGCTAGAGTTTGTTCGATTTCGCTTTTGCGTTGGACGAGTTAACAGAACGACCGGGATGTACCACAAAAAAAACAGTGCTTCTTGGTGAAGCTTTCGTGTCTGTGCAATGCAAGATCATTCACGCATGCGAAAGTGAGTCCAACACAGTCAACACAGCGATTCCCAAAAAACTGATCTGCTTGTTTCGCATTCCAAAAAAGTGATCTGCGAAACAAAGCCCCAATATCAGCAAACCCGTCCATGGCTGGCGGGTTTATGCTCCACAGAAGTCCATTTTGACTTCTACTCAATGATCCTTCCCTTTGTCGACCCGAGGTGGGGGGGGGCTGCAGGCAGAGAGACCCAGCGTTTGTCACCCGGTTCCAAGCAACTCATTGAGCACCACTCCGCTCGTCCTCAAACGACTCTTAGCACGGCCCGTTTTCTTCAGCAGCACCAGTTGGAGCAGATGTGAAACCGTGGCGCTCGCGCGTCGCGACGATCCCACAACGCGAACGTGTGAATCAAAAAGTCGCAAAGAGAACAACCAAAGAATCGTACGATTTCGTTCGTTGCGGGTTTTTGTTGGGCACGATTTCCATTTTGATAAAGAGCTTTTTTGTTGTTGTTGTTGTTGTTGTTGTTGTAATGGATATTGTTTTGTGTGTTTCGCAATCGACTTTTGCTGATGTTGTGACTACGTCGTAATAAAAATCCAAAATTAAGGACCAAGGAAAAAAAAAACCAAAGGAGCGACGCTCCGCTCCGGCATCGTGTTCTCTGAATGAAACGTCCGTC